TGGCAATAGTCTAAAATTTGCGATCCTTTTATACAATACTAGATACTTTTAAGCAGACCACTGACAAAGCCATATACTCACAAAATATACTAATGCCCCAATATATTTTTTCTCATTGGTTTATACTTTTATATCATACAATGACAGATTACTCAGCTACTGCTTAATACTTCCTCCACCTTCATGTATAGAATATAGATTCCACACTCACACTTGTGATAAAGGTCATGGAGTCTCCTCCTGAGCAACTGCTGTGTGTGACTTTTCAGGACAGAATACAGGTAATTACAAAGGCTTTCAGTGGCAAGCCTAGAAGAGGAGAACTGACCTCCAACCAGACTTAGTGCACAATCAACATACGGCAGTTTCTGAAGGAGTTACAGTCAAGAGGCTGAGAGGCTTTCCCAGTCCCAGGCCCAAGACGCCCTGACCAACCAACTCTGACACTGATCTGTATCCCTCCCCTAGCTGCTTCAGTTTGGAAGACTCTTTATCGAGAGCCCTTTAGTTGAAGCTTCTGAAGGTCCCTTTGCAGAGTCCTCCTCAGGGAGCAGACACCTTCCTAAGAAAACCCATTCTGACTCTGAAAATTTTTCTCTTCTGGCCCTCCCCTAGATTCTCAAAACTGCAGCCTTCTGTTTGGAGCTCCCATGAGTGAGGGGGAAAACAGAAGATGGGGACTTAGCAGTTTCTCAATTTCAGCCTCTTGTCTATAATATCCCAGTAAGTGATCAAAGGTAACGGTAACTTTCATTTTGGCTTACTGTCAAATCAGCTACCTAGACATCTGGCCACTCAGCTCTGTATAGTGTAACTAAGCTCTCAACACAGATACTATGGAACTACATTAAAGACTCATTGTCTTGTGAAGTGTAATGTTAAGTAAAATTACACTTAGTGTGGTAGAGACTTAAGGTGTTTGTATGAGACAACTAGAGGAGGAAGAACTGAATTAAAAAGAAAGGAAATGTTTGTTTAAAGGAAGGACATAATTAACTTATAATGCCTGTATAAAAAACAGCTAGGGAGAAAAAAGTAGCAGGAAATAAGAAAAATGCATATGACATATGGAGAGAGGTTACTATTCATATAGATTTGCAATTTAATCCAGGGAAAACATGTTCAATAAAAACAAAAGTATGCCAGAAGGACTGGATTTACCGTTCCATGGGAAAAACTAAACAAAATATATGAAAAAAACAACTTTCAGACATTAAGCATAAAGACTATAGCATTGATAAAAGGGCAAGCAAATGAAGTCAGTATTATTAACTACTCCAGTTTACTCCCTAAAGGGCTTCCTGCTACAGCAAAGGAATGAGGAAGTGAAGTCCAGTAACCTTTCTGAACTAAGACAGGCCCTGGAATCCAAGAAAACTAAGAAAGCTAGATAGAGTTCACAGGGCAAAGTACCACAAAACAGAGATTTGCTCAGAGACCTCTGAAGAACCACAGAGGGTTCTCCTCAGTTCTTCAACTAAGTATTAATTAACACACTCATGGGAGAAAACTACTATGGTTCAAGGAAAAAAATCCATCCAAAAGGACTACAGCAAACAATCTCCAAAGGTCAAACAGTTCGGGAGAACTTCATGCATCCACCAGCAGAGAGACAGAGGAAAAAACATACAATGTATAAAAAGATAATGACAGAATTGTCATCAGAAACAACTTAGGCCAGAAGACAACAGAATAAAAAATTTTAAGTACAAAAAGGAAAAACAAAGTCTAACCAAGTAGAAATTCATACTTAATCAAAATATATTTCCAAAATGAAGAGAAAATATTTTTTTCAAGTGTACAAAAGCTAAAAGAATTTGTCACCATCCCATGTTGACCACACAAAATAAAGGAAGTCCTGTCAGCAGAAAGAAAATAACACCAAACGAAAATACAGATTTACACAGAAAAATGGAAAAAAGCAGTGATGTTTCTCAGCAAAGAAATATGAAAACAACCAGGCTTTGTTAGATTCACGACTCTTGGCTGATGCCAGACAAAAGTGTGAAGTGTTGGGCCATACTTTCTAGAAAAGGAAACACTCCCTAGTAGATGGGAGTATACAGTACATTTAATAAAACACAGACTGAAAACCCAACCTGAAAGAAAATACAGTTAAAAAAAGAACTTACAAAAAAACAAAACTAATAAAATATAAGCTCAGAAAGAGAAAATAAAGCATCAAAGAAAATGAAATATTTGAAGAGAACTAAAAAAAATGACTGAAGACCTAACAGAAGATCAGAAAGAACCAAAGAAAGAATATACATAGTTAAAAATTCAACTGGTAATGAATGAAATTCTTGAGATGACAGAATACAGAAAAAAGATAAAGATCAAGAGAAAAAAGATATTACAAATAATAAATGCATAGATTTTCCAGGAAAAACTGATCTAGAATACTTTATAATAAGATATATTTTATTTAAAACCTTCAATATTAAGCTGTAAAACGTAAATCTTCAGGCATGTACTTCACAAAATCAAGTTATATCTAAAGCAGAGTGAATAGAGGGAGAAAGGTACCACTCAGTAACACATCACAGCAACGCTCCAGGATAAAAATGGGTAACATCCAGGAAGTTTGGAAGAAAAGAAAGTATGACCCAATGAATTTATACCCTGCCAGTTTATCCCCTAAATACAGGACAGTTGATACCTATATTCAAACATGTAGACTCTTACAATATAGCTCTTTTGATACATCTTGAAAAAAGGACTACTTTCAATTATATTTGGTAACCAAGAAACACCTAGTAAGGAACTCATAAATTAAAATATTATGACTTTAAAAAATGAATACTGAGTCTGTAATATATAGTAACAAACTTTAACATTCAGGAAATTAGTATTATTGTGCTGCATACAGTTATAGACACATATTTTTAAAAACATAAATTAATGAACAAAACTCAAGATGTGTAAGAAACAAAAAAGTTTTATTAAAATGATGGGTTTTGAGCTGCATAGCAAGATGCTAATTTTAAATGACCCTAAAATTGAAATACAGTGGTATCATGGTCCACAGACACTTTTACTTACAAACAATTTGGCTCATAAACAAGCATTTGGCAAACTCTTATTTTTGTTTGCAAACTGCATCAGGTCACACCTATGACCAAGGTCATCTTTCCCACACAAACATAAGCATGGCCATCTTTTCCAAAAATCACATAATTAAGTTCATGAACCAAGGTACCACTGTTTTTTCACATTTCTATATGAACATAAAGGACTTTTTTTAGAAATTAATATCTTTCAAATTGATGAAATATTTATCTCGTTAAACAGGTTCATTTACCTTTACCTCAAGTTTCTTTTTATTTGGTTAGTTCTAAACATATGTAATACATGTAAGTTTCTTTAAAAAATAGCATCTATTGAGATACTCTTTTTAAGCATTTATCTAAGCTTCTTTATATGTAACTATTAAGAGACAGTTGTGTAATGATAAATATTAAAATTTTTTATTTTTAATTGGTTGCACACTGGCTTTTTTATTGCTTTAATGTTTGCATGTTAATAATGAAGTTCTTTTTAAGTAATGAAAGAATAAAGTCTCAGAAATCCCAGTAGCTGAGTGTAAAGAGAAAGCAACTCCAGCCAAGGACACAGCTCAGCAGCATAGCACCGGCCTAGCAAGAGTGACATTCGGAGATCAACCCCCAGTACCAAAAAGAAAGAAAGAAATTCCAAAGGAAGATACAGAGAAGATACAGGAAAGAATAGGAGTTTATAATAGGAAAAAACACTGCTTTAGGAGAAGGAAGTAAGCTTGAAATATGATAAAACTTTAAAATGTAAAATAAAAGGGTTCAAATATCAATTTTGACTATTAGTGACCTGAGTGATAGCTATAACAACAGTAATTAAAATAAAAGCCAGAAGAAGAATGCTATGGTCATTATTTAAGTGTCCTCCCAAAAGGCTCCCTGTGTTAGAAACTTGGTTACCAGCTGATGATGCAGTTGGCAAGTGACTGGATCATGAGGACTCTAAACTTATCAGCAGATTTTAAATTGGTTCCCTTTTGGGAGGTGAAAGAAACAGGAAGTTTGGTCTGTTTCAAGGGAATAGATCATAGGGGTGTAACCCCTGGGGTCTATATCTAGTCCCTGACTCATTCCTCTCAGGATCTTTTTCTCTGTTTCCTGACTGCCACGAGGTGAACAGCCTTCCTCTGGCAAGCTCATCTGTGATGATATTCCGCTCAGTCACAGACCCAGAGCAATGCAGTGAGCTGAAACCTGTGAAACTGTAGATCAAAATAAAACCTTCATCATTTGAATTGATTTCTCTCAGGTTTTTTGTCAAGTAGTAAAAAACTAATTAGCATAGAGGGTAAATGAAAAATAATTATTAAGTATAAATGGTCAACCACTGAAAGTACAATGGCAATCCTTAGGCTGCAACAGGTTAAATTTTTTAAAACTCCTATCATATCAAACTCACTTTCTAATGAGGCATGAGGTTGTATAATAAATACAGGTATCTTGACTTATAATGAAGAAATAATCTTCAATTTGGAGGACTGATATATTCCCTATCATTGAGCAAGTCAAGGAGTCTACAAATTTGAAGTCTTTCAAAGTTTCCTTCAGGACTAAGATTTTGATTTCAGGAAAACAGATGACAGCGAAATGATATCAAATACTAAATGTAAAGTCAATAGAAAATATAAATGAATTATTAATGTTAAATGTAACTCTATACTGTATTACCTATAAAACTATAGTGAAATTATCAATGAAAATAAAAGGGTCTTTTTTATCCAATTTCTCTTTATATTTTTTAATACCCAAGGCCTACCCAAAATAGAAATTTTAGGAGTTCACCCCATTTATTTGATTTTCCTCATGAAAGATAAAAATGTTAATCATTTATTTATGAGTAATGTGGTAAAGAAAGGAGGTAAAATTCTTATAAGAAATTGAAAATATAACTTCAAGAATGATATAATTTAATAATGCCTGTTAAGTATATATTTTCACAGAAATTACCTTCTCTTTTTTCAGCTATACATCTATTCAATTCTTGTATCGTTGTTTTATCAATAGATATATGTACTTTAAGTTCATCCAATTCTTCTTGAAGATTCATCCTATGAAAATTAAAGAAATAAAAAGGTTTATAAAATATCTTAGTTGGAGAATAATGTAGCAAAGAAATAAAAGTAATAGAGATATTTTAAAATCCATAGAGCTGAAAATGGTAAAGTAAAAGCAGAAATATATCCATATTAACAAACCCTAAAAACTGCAATTAAATTTTAAAGAGGATCCAGATAAAAAGGTTTGAGTAAATGATTTTTGTTAACTTTATTGCAGTAAACATGTTAAATATCTAAAATTTAGGAAAAAAATGGCTATGGTTTTAAAAATCATGCACTTGAGCACCCAGTGGAAGATGAAAGGTGGAGGTCCAGAACAGGTGCTCTGAGATCCGTTCTCCCTCAGGCCTGCCTGGGCCCAATCAGTGAGGACTAGGCTGCCACGTGAGTGCCTCTGGAAGACCCATCCTTGCCCACCCCCAGACCTCCTGATGTGCCAGTCCTTGGGTCCACTCAGCAGAGGCACAGATGGTCATAAAGGGCATTTTACTGAGCTCCAGACTTTGAACATCTTCAAAGAAAGGGCAGAGGGAACCTGTAGTAGAACTGTGTGGAGTTCAACCCTGTAGGAGGTCAGGGAACTCAATTTGGGCCTTGCAGTCCAAAATCAGTCTGAATCTCAGGGGTTTGCCATTGGCTAGCTGAGATCAAAGGACTTAGTTCTGTACATGGCTGCGCATATTGTATATTATGACAGAAGAGATATAGTCTGAAAGAGGCTCTTCAAATTCATTTTCTTCTTTCTTTTCTTCATACCACTCTGCAAATTCTTTCTTTTTTCTGTCCTCTTTTTCCAACTCAGTCCCTTGCTCCCCCATATTATTCCTCATCTACCTTTCTGTTCCTGTTCCTGCCCTAACAAGGATTTCTTCTTTTATAATTTTTAATTTTTTCTTTATGTTCTTTTCTTCTCTCATTTTACTTCACTCAAGGGTCAACAGTTTCAAAGGAAAGTGAGCCCCTGTTACTGTTAAGTGGTTATATTCTTGTTCATATTCTTGCACTCTGTCTTTCCCTTTTGAACTTAACAGTTACCTAAAAATTGTAGGGTCATTCTATGTCCTCTGGCTTCATTTGAAACCTTCTCCAATTCTTTTTCTTATCTACTCCTCTCATCCTCACTCAGTCTAAGCCCCCATCCTAAATGGTAAGATGCTGTATTGAAGAGTTTCTTCACTGAAAACATATTTTGGGCTGCTTCTTTATTTTAATTTAATTCACATGGTTTAAAGGTGATAAATAAATGACCACGAATGGTCACCTTGTAAGTTGTGCCTGATCCTATTGTGTTACTGATTGTATCAACTGGGCTAAAAGACTGTGATTGATTTAATGAGTTGTCTTTTCTGATATTAAGAAAATGAGAATGTCTATGAGTCACTAGAGACTCAAAAGCTAAAGCACAACTATATCAGGAAGATTTAAGTAATAACCCAGAAATTAAACCAAGAACAACCCAATAACAAAAATAAAAATGAGAAAACACTTAAGCAAGACACAAAGGCAGACTTCAAGTTCACCAATGGCAAACAGAGGGGCAAATGAGGATGAAAAGTCTAATAGTGAACCACCAGGATACCCTGAAATCATAGCACAGGAAGTAATGAAACAGATCAGGCTCTAGAGAAATTCAAAACAGAAATAAGAAAGAAATGGAATTCATAAAACAGATTCAAACAGATATCCAGATTAAAAACTCTATTGAAAGTGTCCACAGAAGAATAAAAGAATGAGAAGATAGAATCTCAGATATGAAAGATAGGATTACAGTCAGTGACCCTGAAAAGAGAGGTCTCTTATAATCAGTAAGGGATCATGAGAAATTGATCCAACAACTCCTGGATGATGCAAGTAAGAATAATGTAAGACTGACAGGAATCCATGAAGTAGCAGGAGAAAATACAAATGACTTAAAAAAGCTGTTCGCAGAATTAATGACAGAAAACTTCCCAAACAGAGGGGAAGAATCTGACATACAGATAAGTGAGGAATATATAACACCATAGCCACAATAAAAAAAAAAAAAACCTACACCTAGACATACAATAATCAAGATCCCAGAAACCCAACAGAAGAGCAAAATACTACAAGCAGTAAGAGAAAAGAAACAAATCACATACAAAGGAAAGCCCATCAGAATCACAGCAGACTTTTCAACACAAGCCTTCAGGTCAAGGAGAGCTTGGAGTGAGGTATTTCAAGTCCTAAAACAAAACAACCTCCAACCTAGACTGATGTATCCTGCAAAACTCTCTTTCAAAATGGATGGGGACATAAGATACTTCCATGACAAAGAACACTTGAGAAACTTCATGAATACCAAACCAGCATTACAAGGATATTCTAAACAATATCCTAGAAAAAGCCAATGAAGTTCACAACCATGAGGCCAAAAAGACAAAAGCAAATGGGAAAGGAACGAAACTAAAAGGAGAGGGGGGAAAAAGTAAAAAGAGTCAACCAAAGGAGAATAACAGGACAATAATAAGTCAGTACATATCAGTTATAACCATCAATGTCAATGGCAATTCACCAAGCAAGAGAAATAGACTGGCAGAATGGATTAAGAAGCAAAATCCAACAATACGTTATATACAAGAAACACACCTTGTGCAAAAAGAAGCCCATAGACTGAAAGTGAAAAGATAGAAAACAATTTTCCACGCAACAGGAGTCCAGAAAAAAGCAGGGGTAGCAATCTTCTTTGCTGACAAAGTAAATTTCAATCCAAAACTGATAAGAGAGACAAAGAAGGCCACTACATCCTTGTAAAGGGAACAATTCAAGAGAAAGAGATGACAATCATAAACATATATATACACCAAATATTAATGCACCCAACTATAAAAAACAAATAGTAAGTAACATGAAAAACCAAATAACCACTAATACAATTGAAGTGGGGGATCTAAATATTCCACTATCACAAATACAAAGATCATCAAGGCAAAAAATCAACAATGAAATACTAGAACTGAACCAAGCTTTTGAACATATGGACTTAATAGACGTCTATAGAGTATTCCACTCCACAAAATCAGAATATACATTCTTTTCAGCTGCACATGGGTCATTGTCCAAGATAGACCACATACTAGCTCATAGAACAGTTTTGAATAAATGCAAAGGAATCAAAGTTATTCCCTCTATATTATCATATCATAGGGCAATCAAGCTGGAGATCAAAGGCATTAGTAACCACAGGAACTTCACAAACACATGGAAATTGAACAACACTCTCCTGAACAATCAATGGGTCACAGAGGAAATTAAAGAAGTTAGACAGTTTTTACAAATAAATGATAATACCAATACAACATACAGGAATCTATGGGACACAATGAAAGCAGTTCTGCGAGGAAAATTCATAGCATTGAATGCCCACACTAGGAAAACAGAGCAAGCTCAAATAAACAACATAATGATGAATTTTAGACTCCTAGAAAAAGAAGAGCAAGAAAATTCCAAAGCTCATACAAGAGAGGAAATTATAAAGATTAGAGCAGAAATTAATGCAACGGAAACTAAGAAAACTAAAGAATCATATCACAGTGATATATACGCACCTATGTTTATAGCGGCACAGTTTGTAATAGCTAAAACTTGGAAACTGCCCATTTGCCTGTCAGTTGGAGACTGGATAAAGAAGATGTGATTTTCCTATAAAATGGAATACTACTCAGCCATAAAGAATGAGAAATTAGAGTCTTTCATAGGAAAATAGATACATATTGAGGATATACTCCTAAGTGAAATAAATAAGTCACACATGTATAAATGACAAATAGTTTCTTTGGTGTGAAAAACTATAATGGTACATAAAATCCTAATGATATAATTGACAACGTGAAATAGGAAGAAAAGTGCTAAAGGTATAGGGGAAGTAGGAAGGATAGGGGAAAGGTAATAAGGGAAAAGAAAAAAAAACATGAAAAAATGGAAATAGAGTATTTGTAAATAGGAAAGGGAGGAGGGGGTGAAAGGAGGGTGGGGCTAAGGGAAAAAAATGAGAACCAAGACCTGTCATGTAAAGGTACAAAATCCCAATGATGAATGTAACTATACTGTATACCTAAAATGTATCAGTAAACTCAATGAGAATAAGTAAATAAATAAAAATTAAATAAAAATCATGCACTCAATTGTCTAGTCATTTCATAACCTGAAGATAATACTCAATAAAAAGTAATAAAAAATTTTTTTACATACCACACTCATAGTAAATCTCCAGATGCTAAACAAAAGCAAAGTACCTTTACCACTATATTGCCATTGACTTACCATGGTGAGGATTTAAACTGGATCAAATTCTGTGGAGGGTACCTATGACTGTGCAATCTGAGTGGAAATGAAAATTTACAACCCTTCCTGGGGCCATGAGACAAGACTGGTATTAACTAAAAGAAGCTGGAGGACAAAAATGTGTTGAATGAAAACCTGAATATCTCAGCTTATCTAATATAGCAGCACAGTTTCTAATAGCTAAAACCTGGAAACAGCCCAATTGCCCATTAGCTGGAGACTAGATAAAGAAGATGTGTTTGTTTGGTTTTTTTACAAAATGGAGTACAACACAGCCATAAAGAATGAGAAGCTAGAGACATATGTAGCTGGATGAACACTGAAGCCATACTCTAACGTGAAATAAACTGGACATGTATAAATATTGAGTAGTTTCTCTAGTGTGAAAAACAAAGTGTAAATAAGGATCAAAATGTATAACTGACAACTGAAACAGTAAGAAAAGGTCTAAAGGAGAAGTGGGAGAGGCAGGGGAAAGAAGGGAAAAGAAAAAATATGAGAAAAGGAAAAAATGGAAACAAAGTCTTTGAAACTAGGGAAGGGTAGAGGGGGTGAAGGAAGGACAGGGGAATGTGGAAAAATAGGAATCAAGATACATTATGAAAAGGTACAAGATCCCAACGATGAATATAACTGCACTGTATACCTAAAATATACCAATAAACTTAATGGGAAAAAAAAAGAGTCCT